TGTGTATATACTCATATGTATAGTTGGTACTTACATGCCACACGCTGCACCAAAAATATCAAGAAAAATACAAAGAATTTTTTCGGTGACAATGAAAATGCACAATATTGCACACAACCGGAAGTGAACATTTTATCACAAAAACTAAACGAACATAAATATTTACTTAAAAAAAATTAAAAATAATTTAGTTGTTTTTGTCTTGAATTTAATTTCTTGTGTACGCGACAATCATTAATAAAATTATTTATTCCGTTTTGATTTAAAGAAATATCACAACTGCCTTCTCCAAGATCTTCGTTTCAACTGAAGTCGAGATTTGGTCGACCCATTTGGACACGAACCTCAGGCATCTATCAAGATAAATGAGCACATTTTTAAGTAGCAAATGAGCATAAAAATATATTTTTATCTACACTTATTTATCCGACATAACGAGACTAAACTCTTAAGTACTTAAGCCACTTGGCAAATAATACTAAATAACCATTTTAATTAAAATATATCTGTATTTGTTCACTTGGGTGAATTCCATAATTAAGGTCTCATACGATTTTGCTCATATACAGCTATGTATATATCTGAAGATATTTAGTAAAAATAATCTTTTTAGTTCCTTTAAGTTAGATTTAATTTAGCGAATTCTTAATGCATAGTAGTGTGCAGTTATATCTGTGTTGACTTGTAAGAAAAATTGCTGTTACATTGTATGAATAAAGCAACTCTTGATGTATGCAAATTTTTATGAATGAAATTGTATGAAGTGAAGCTTTATAATTTAAGATGATTGCACAAGTGATATATATTTAATTCATTTTCTCACTGCATATACCTACTAAAAAGTAACAAATAAGAGTATTCAAATCAAAAATATTTTTCTTTTAATATTCAATCTAATATTCTGCAAATATTAATTTAATTTAAAGAATACGTAAAATGCGTGTGTGATGTTAGGTTGAGATTTCGTATTTGAATATACAAAAACATTAGTTTATAGTCTTGAATTTCTAAATATGTCTTAAATAATGTCAAAATATAAACGATCTTATAATAAAATAAAATATATGATAATAATAAATTCGCATATAGTAAGATGAGTATTAGACATATTTGTATGTTACATGTGGACTTTTAAGAATGTTATTGTATGTTTAGGTTTAATATATGTATAAATATATATATACATATATATATACGATAATTTTCAATAAACTAAATACACAAAACAAAGATTGTTTCAAAAGCAAATTACTATTAAACGAAATATGACATAAAAATGCTTAGTCTGAAAACTGTGAATCCTTTATACATTAGTTCTTTGATAAAAACTGAACAATCAAAACTCTTGTGTCACTCAAAAATTTAAAAGAGCAATAGAAGAAATATAGAAACACCATTAAGACTGAATAGGGCACCAAATGTCAATATTATGCGACAAATATTGAGGAGGAACCCGTAAGGTTTTTGGCGATTTGATGCTCCGACCATAACTTGGAAGAGAACATTTGACCATGAATTGAGGAATGTAAATTATTAATGAACCAGCATCATTACTTTTGATGTCACACATAGATCATAATATGTCACACATAGATCGAAAATGCTATTGATTATAACATACGTGTAGGTATATATGCATATATAGAATATATATACATATTTCAAAAGATATTAAGTACAAAATATTATAATATAGTATAGTATGTATATTGAATAAACAATTTAAATATATAAATAGATTTGTAAATACTAATATATAACATAACATTAATTTTTAAAATACAACTATAATTTAGGCCAGTATGAATACTTTCGAATTTAACTTAATTTCATTTTTACAAAATTAAGGAAATTTGGCTGTCTGAACATAGTATTAGCAGACAATCGAAAGATTTGCTTAAAGGAACTTTCAGTCTTTCGAAAGACCGCTGCCAGAATCGTCGCTACTCTGACAAAAACTCTGCAAAAATTTTAAGAATAAAACCTTAATTTGCCGTTTTTTAACTGGTTTTGATCTGTTCATTTAAAATATAAATAATAGTCGATGTGGTTATAATGTTTATTATTAGGTAGACCTCAATGCTAGGTACAGACCTCTGTGTAATCATTGAAACCAATTATTAATAAAATTTGTCAGTATGAAAAAACTTTTCTACTTCAGTTTATTAATGTAAAAACTGCAAATAATCTTACTAATCGATGTAGATTTTAATTTTGCGTTTAAATTACCATATTTATAATATTTGATATACCATATCTAAATATACCGTCACATATCATTTACTATTTGCTTTTCAAATTTAGCAATTCCTATTACAGTAAATGTGTACTTAATTCAAAAAAATTGCAACAGAATAATTTTAGCATCCAATCATCTGCCCACCTAAGAGATAGTAGGTAGTAGCTAGGCAAACTTAGTAACAACGCTTTGGCAGTAATAAAAATAAAACATCTTAAGTAGCTCTGGTTATTTACCATAAATTAATTTATACACGAAAATAGCGTCAAATAAGCAAATAAAGAGAAACTTTTCAAGTAAATAATCTCTAATTCCTGCATCTTGTGCTTGTTTATTACATTCTAATTTAATTGAAGATATACATTGTTGATTTAATTTAGACAAGCTAAGCGTGACACAAATCGTCTCTATATAGTAGCTTTTAATATAATAAAAAAGTGCTTATTTGGCTTACTTTCTAGTAAGAATGTGTGACTATACGTTTGATTCGTGTTGAAATGTTTTCCACGAAAAGGTATTTTTATTCTAAATTTAGGAGTACTTTATTTAATGTACTAAAAATAACATTAATTTACTTAATTTGGTATAAAATAGCGACGGAAAATGCCAAAATTCTATTCAAAATAGAAACAATGTAGATAGAGTAATAAAGCTGCTATTTAAAAATTAAAGATGGTTTAACAAAATAGATTAATAATTAAAAAAGGGTGAATGGAAAGATAAAGATGAGATTCACATAAATTAACGAAAGCAAAAAATATTTTTACGTGTTATCAAACATATAATTTTTTTTAATATCTTATAAATATATATTGCAGTTTCTGAAAAAGCTACGCTTTCTTTATATGGTGACAAAGAAACTATATTAAAATTTAGAGGGTTTTCGAATAGCAAAGAAAGAAAGGACAAACACAAAAATTTATTGAATTTTATTAAAATTTGGCTGACCATCCTATCTTATCAAATTTATTAAATTAATTTTTTTTGTATAGGTGTCTACTACTTAATCGTTTCCACTTGTAATTAAAAACTAATTCCAACACCACAACATAAATATTTCTGAAGTAAATACAACCGACAAGATTGACAGTTTATATTTCATTATTTAAGATTGCTTAAACTAATGCAAAACATACTAGATTATAACACTTTCTCCGCCCTTAATTTTTGACAAAGTTCAAGTTTTTCTGAAATCGTCGGATTCAAATCGAATTACATCCTTCCGAATACGACCACTTTTTCGAAGTTGAACTACTTCGGTAGAACGTTCTTCACTAGGCATTAATGTTGATTGGCTAGATGAAGGCGGTGTGGCATTGATGAAATTTGGAGCGAATTCAAAAATTGGTTGTGAAGAGAGGTCAGAGCTACTTCTAGTTTTAAGCTGATTAACATGACGTTTGATGTAACCAAAAGATGTGTTCACTCTGTAAACCATTTTACCAAGTTGTTTTACAATAACTCCTTTTATCCATTTTTCCCCTCTTGCGTAGTTTCGAGCGAAGACGGGTTGCTTTAGACTGAATTTCATTTTCCGTTTCGAAGCTTCAAGGTGCTTTCTAGGCGATTCAAACAGTTGACTCAACAAGGTACGAACAGGCCTTCCATGTAAAAGTTCTGCAGGTGATTTACCCTCAGCATTCGGCATTGCACGATATGTTGCAAGATATTTTGATACAGCGAATTTGAGAGACAATCCATCGTCAATGTTTTTCTTAACAGCAGTTTTAAAAGATCTGACGAATCGTTCGGCTAACCCGTTTGAGGCTGGATGAAACGGCGCTGTTGTTATATGTTTGATGCCAAGTTTTGAGCAAAAATTGTTGAATGCTTCAGCTGTAAATTGCGGACCATTGTCACTTACGATGGTTTCTGGTATACCTTCCAGAGAAAATATAGAAGACAATGCTGATATGGTGTCAACCGTTGTTGTTGTAGATAGTTGTACAACGAACGGAAATTGCGAGAAAGCGTCGACACAAATTAGCCACATTGAATTACAAAATGGACCAGCAAAGTCGATATGTACTCTCTCCCAAGGTCGATCAGCTTCAGGCCAGCTTAAGTATTCACGTGCGTGAACAGGATTTGCAATTTTGCACACATCACAATTTTCAGTTAATTGTGCGATGTCTTTGTCAATATTAGTCCACCAGACATGTTGTCGAGCTAGCTGTTTCATTCTCGATACTCCCCAATGACCATCATGAAGAAGTTTAAGAATTTTCTGCTTAAGGGAGGCTGGAATGACAACCCGGTTGTACTCCGTCTGGAGGCAAAGCAAATTGTTGTTTAGTATTAAAGCAAAGCGATGATTGAAAAATGATCGAAGATCAGCATCTTGAGGCATTAGCTTTTCAGGCCAACCGTTTGTAACGAGAAAATAAACTCGGCGAAGAATTGGGTCATTTTTGGCATGCTGACGAATTATTTCAGCGTCGATAGGTGTGTTAAGTTCATTGATGTTGAAACAGGATTCTTCATGATCAAAAGTTTTATCTTCACCAACAGGTAAACAAGATAAAGCATCAGCATTTCCATGCTCAGTAGTTTTACGATACCGAACATCATACTGATAAGCCATTAGTATAATAGCCCATCGCTGTAAACGATGTGACGTCATCGACGGCAACTGATGAATTGGATTAAAAATGCTAACAAGAGGTTTGTGGTCAGTAACCAAGGTGAATCTTCTTCCGTATAAATATTGATGGAAACGCTTGACTCCAAAAACGATAGCTAGCCCTTCCTTCTCTATCTGACTATATCGTCGTTGATGAATGTCGAGAGTTTTAGATGCAAAAGCAATAGGCCTTTCTGTACCGTCAACGTACGTATGCGAGAGCACGACTCCTATGCCATAGGAGGAGGCATCTGTAGCTAGAACCAACGGTAAATCTTCCTGATAATGTGCTAATTGCGCTGCATTGAGAATATGCGTTTTAAGAGCTATAAATGCTTGTTGTTGTGCTGTACCCCATGTGAATTTTACATTTTTTCGGCGCAGCATGTTGATTGGCGCGAATAATTGCGAAAAATTAGGTATAAAATTATGGTAATAGTTTACCTTACCCATGAATGCTTCTGCTTGCTTTAGATCTTTAGGCGGCTGCAGGTTTTTTACTGCTTTTAGTCCTGACTCATCTGGCAATATACCTTTTGCACTAATTTGACGCCCGAGATATTCGATTTTATCTCGCAGAAAGAAACATTTTTCTTGCTTGCACCTGATACCATTTTGTTGCAAAATACGAAGTACTTGTTCTAGGCGGCTGATGTGTTGTTGAAATGTAGGTGCGGAGATGATAATGTCATCGAGATAATTTCCGCAACCTTCTACGCCTTGAAGTAACTGCTCAAGATATCTTTGGAATATAGCTGGAGCGCTTGCAATTCCAAACGGTAAACGTTGGTATTGGAATAACCCAAGTGGAGTGTTGACAACCATTATTGTTTTTGCTTCATCGTCGAGTTCCATTTGTAAATACGCATCCTTAAGGTCGATTTTTGTAAAATGTTGACCGCAATTAATTTTATGGAAAAGACTTTCGCGTATGGGCAAAGGATATTGTTCAATGTCAATTTGCGCATTGACTGCTTGTTTAAAATCCCCACAAATTCTTATGGAACCATCAGCTTTTGGCGCTAGTACAATAGGCGAAGCCCATTGGGAAAACTTCACAGGTTTCCAAATACCCGCATTTGTCAATCGATCGACTTCTTTCTTGAAAAGTGACATTTGCGAAAATGGAATTTGTCGGCTTTTGTAAAATTTCGGATGTGCATTTGGCTTTAAAAAAATACTGACCTTAAAGTTTTTTATTGTGCCAAGAGCTGGTTCAAAAATATCACCATATTTCTTACACAGCTCGCTAATTCTGTGTGATTCACTTTCAGTAATGTTACAAATTTGTTGAATCTCAAACCCGAATTCTTTAAATAAATCGAAACCGAATAAATTGTTACAGTTTTCGACATCCACGACAACGATTACCACTTCCCTTTCTTTTCCGCCACATTTGATATCTACGCAAAGTTCACCAAGCACTGGAATTTCATTTTTGCCAAAACCAAATAAGGTTTTTGTACAATTTCGCAACTTTGGGCAATTTAGAGTTTTGAATGTTCGCTTATTTATTAGAGAAACTGTTGCACCAGAATCCATTTGGAAAGACACAATTTTATTACAAATTTCCAAGTCAATGTAATTCTTATTGCTTTCAGTTTTTACAATACCTGTTAAACTGTTAATTGTTTCAACAGTACCAATGTTGTGACTTTTACGACGGTAATCTTTCTTCTTGTTTTCATCACCTGAATTACGTTTGTTGTTCTTGTTTTGTTTTGACATGCACACTGGCGCAATATGTCCAATTTTGCTACATCTATTGCATACAGCATTTCTAAATTTACAGTTTTCTCTTGCATGAGAGTTTCCACAGCCAGAACATGATTTGAATTTTACTTTATTATTGTTATTGTTGAAAACACCCGGTTTTTTTATAATTGTACCAACTGAATTAACAGGCATTGAGTTTTCGATCGTTTGTTCTTTAATTGTTGCCACCGTTTTAGTGGTTGTTTCGTACAATTCTGCAATCTGCAAAACATCAGCAAGTGTCGGCTGGGGCTTTTGGAACGCAGCCGTGCGCACTGCATCGTGCGGTGTACGTATAATAATTTGGTCACGAATCATATCATCCACGAAATTGTGCAAACAATTCTGGGCTGAGCACGAAAAGTTACACTCTCTTGCCAATCCGCGGAGATCGGCTACCCACTCTCTGTATGATTGATGTGGCTTCATTTCCCTTTTGAAAAAATCGTAACGTGCAGCGACCACATGTCGTTTCGACTGGAAATGATCCGTTAGTTTTTCCGTTAAATTTTCGAAAGATTGTTCTTGTACTTTCGTGTTACCGAAAAGATTTTTTAGCAGCTCAAAATTTTCTGTGCCAATCCAAGACAAGAAAAATGATTTTTGTTTTTCACTGCACTGAACTGAATATGCTAAAAAATGTTGGTTAAGTTGTTCTAAGTACGATTCCCAGGTTTGCTGTTCTTTCGAAAATTTGTGAAATACTGGAACAATGTTGTTATTTCTTTCAGATACACCAGCAGTACCTTGTTTTTGGAACATTGAGTCCATCCACTCACGTTGTTGTTTCAGTAAATTTTTTGAGAACTCTTGTTGTTCTTTAAGCAATTGCTTATAAATTTCACTTTCGCCCGGCATGATTGTATTTAAAATTGAACGGTACGAAATAAGCGTGAAAGCGATTGAATAATTGCAGATTTTTATCCTCGTCGCCAACTGAAGTAAATACAACCGACAAGATTGACAGTTTATATTTCATTATTTAAGATTGCTTAAACTAATGCAAAACATACTAGATTATAACAATTTCGATAATACTTTTAAATGAAAATAAAAATCAAATAAATCCAACAATAAATCTGAGGTAACTTTTTCAATTTAAATTCACTTTTAGTGCAGTTTTTATTTTTGATTAATAAATCTCGAGTGAAATATAACACTCGAGATTAATTTATAACACTCTAGATATTTTGCCAGAATAGCAAGATTACACTATAAAACAGCTGTTTTAAAAGATTTGGCCAACAAATTGTGATTTCACTCGATATACACATGTATTTATGAAAAATATAAATGCCTAATAACACTACTATGAAAATATTAGATTAATATTAATAAATATTAGATCAAGTTTCGGAATTTTCTTAGGTTGGTAAGCCCATTCGCCAACTATATAAAATTTAGTAGTTCAAAGGAGTAGAGTTATTCACGCTGGCGAAGATCTAACTCCTTGACCTGATTAATCGGCTTTGTTGAACGAAGGGAAAGTGAGGCATATTCTTAACCTTTCTTAACCTAATTATCAAAACTTAAATTCTAATAAATTCATAAAATTTTACCAGTATACCACTAAAGTACTGCATACTTGTTTTTATTTTATAAAACCAAACAAATATTTTTTCTGTATTGTACTATACGGGTCACTACAATGATTTTCTGGCGAATGTAGTTTCTATGGAGGAAGCTATAAGGCTTGTCATAACTTGGATAATTTATTGAATATAAATATATACACAGTACTATAATTAAATTCAATTCACATTTAGGATGGTTTGTGATTTCATACATATCTAAAACTGAGATGACGTAGTTCAACATTTCACTTCCTTGGGGTTTCAGTCACAGGAATAGAACAGGCAACACAGACAGTTGTTGATATCTTCCTATATTAAGCAGATTGTATTTTTAGCATCAGTTATGACGAAAGAAATTATTTTCTTAATATAAACTATTTTTTATTAATTGAATTTTGGTTGACTTTACAGCTGTTTGGAGTATTACCAAATGCACATCATAAGTGTTTTATTTTTGGAACTAATTCTTAAATTTATTTATTCGTAAATAGTATATTGAGATTGCAAGTACTGAAGACCAAATTCGTAGTTTGACAAATTTGCAACTCAGAGTCAGTGTTCATTAGGCAACTGACCTGAAGCCGTATTTAACTTATATGTTCTAACTTGGAGTTTTGTTAATTTGCTGTAAAAGTTAATTAACAAAATCACTTGCTGTGTTGTATAAGAACGAAATCATAAACCAGCTATACAATAATTGATATAATTAATTATAGTCGTTTTTGATTGATAAATTTCAATAATATTCTGTTTTGGAGGCAAATCGGCAATCTCATGCTAGATGCTACGTAAAGTTATCAGTCTTGTAAAAGGTTTGTGAACAGATAACAGCAGTGGATGGAATATTAAATCCTCCATTGAATGATTCCTATCGTTTGCTTCGTAGCACAACGAGAATTAATCACGCTACGAATTTACTTTTTAGAGATATCAGCCAGCTTGAAGACCACCCTTTGAAGAGCATTCCAAGCGTTGCTGAGACCTCAAGGAGGCTTTTCAGTCTCTGATTTTAATGTAGTTGACCATTGGGCTTATAAATCTAAAAAAAATCTATAGGCTTGGCAGTATAAATTAACCTACTGTAATTGAAGTGTTATGAACGAATTTAGAAAAAAATTATTTTTCTTATTGCATTTTTATTTTTACTTACAAGTATTATCAAATTCTGTATATTGTGGTGTTGTTTACTTTTATTTTAAATGCGCTTTAAGCAATATTTCGTGCCAATTCATAAAATAAAATTACATTCAAGTTTTTAAGCACATTATGAACTCGAAACCGTGCATTTCAATCTCTGAACTCTCGTTTGAGAAAAAGTGATAAGCTTTTATAAAAGCCAAAACCAGAACAAAACCACATCCGCAGCCACATAAAATTTAATTGGTGTAAGTTCATTTGGTTTGTCTGTGGTCAAAATACAATATACAATATACAATATCATATAAGTCAAATTCAGGATTGCATTTTTGCAGTAAAAGCACTTAAAAGCCAAACAACCTACAGAGGAAACGTCGTTAAATGAAATTTCGTATTTTTTAACATAAAAATTATTAGTAACCGTAAAAATCCAATAATAAAAGTTTTGTTGCCTGGAATTGACTTTGGAAGTTTTTCTTTCGGTTTATTTATGAAAATTTATGTTTACATATAAATATTTTTGGACAAAACGAAGTAAGTTTCTTTACATATGGAAACATAATTTTTATGTCCAACCATTACATATATTGACTTGGTATAAACTGAAAAACTTTGAAATTATTTTTATATCCCTACAAAAATTAAGAATTTCCATTAAAAAAGTTAACCTAAGAAGAATATCATATATCAATATATATAAAGGGCACGAAATCCTTTTTGAGCATGAGGAATATGTTTTTATTAGTATGAGTTATATGATATGAGCTTGTGGTCTATTATAACTGTAATAATTTTTACAGATATTTTATGAAACCTCTTGATTAATGTTGTAGAGACATCAAAAAAACTTGATCGTTTATTAGTGGAATTTATGTACATGTAGTATTTCTGGTACATGTACATAAGTCAGAAATAAAATGGATCGTATAGTTCTTACCTTTAACCAAAGGAAAGAAGTGCCGTGAAATTGTTCAGTTTTTGAAGTTTTTTGAGTTACCGATCTTATTGATCTACTTTATTGACAGTAAAGTTGACGTAGCCATATATGTATACATCTAATTGAGCAATGATTTTGAATATAAGTATTAAAACTTTGTTAAAGTTCTCCAGTGTAATTCTTTACGCGATGACTTTTGAAATAATTATATTTGTATATAAATGATAAAACTTTTGGGTGTTGCCTTATAAAAAATTTTAGTTTGCTGTTCCAGTACATTTCAATACAATTTCAACATATGATATATGAAAATAGATAGAACGTGGATCAGTCATTATACTCTAAAGCCAAATTTGCTATCAACTAAGAGAAACAACCCGTGTATGCTGCCCAATCTATTTAAAATAAGTGTACTAAGTATCCGATTTATAATTTTAAATAAAAAGTAAATATTGTAGTGCAATTCCGAATTTCCGGACATGCCAATTTGACAATAGACTTCATAGAAGCAGTTACTTTACTTCTCAATGTACTCAAAAACAGATAGCAACTTTTTATATTGATCTCACCAAAATAAATTCACATACCCTATAGAGCTAACTAGTATATGCAATTTAATATTTAAAGGCTTAGTTGTCATAAACATAGCGAACGTAGAAAATAAAAACGGTAAGGTGTATAAAAAATCATTAATTACGACAGAGTACATACAATGAAAAACAACATAAAAATATAATCAAAACAAGCTCAATCCTATCACCAAATACTTCGCAATATTTCTGTCAGCTAACATAAAATTTCTCCTATGTTTTCGTCAAGAACACAAAATTCAAGTGGTTCTAACATTTTCCCCTATTTTTACTTCACCACGGATAATTGATTACATTGTTTTCCATAAGGTAGAACGGATCAGTTGATTTCTTATAGCACAATTAATTTAACCTTTAATATACAAAATAAGAATAGATGTTACGTGTAGTTATTATTTTTATTGCAGGCATGCAATTTGACCAAGGAAATCAAACTCTCTCATTGAGATGCCCCGTAGAGATATCAGTCTTGTAGTAGTTCACAGGTCATTGTATTTTAGATAACCATACTAGGAGACTAAATCTCCCTTTCAACCATACCAGCCGCAGTTGTGAAAAGGACAATGAAAGTGTGTCCCATCTGCTTTGTTTCTGTCACTTTAGCGGTTTTCTTTTTTGATAATGTTGGCGAATTGCAAGATCTCCAGAGCATAGCATCAATAACATTATAAGCTTTGCCAAAGGATCTAAGTGGAGCTAACCCTTGAATTTTTAATTATACGGTGAACTTAATTATACAATGGGCCTATTGGCCTAAGTGGATCTCTTGCGATCGCCGGAATAACCTAACCTACGCATTGACAGTGCGTATCGAATACTGCGATTTTGATACTTCAATATCTTCACTGACTTGCTTATGACGTACGAAGGGAAGAAAATAGTTTGCATCTTCGGTGGAAATAGCAGGTGATCAACAAGAGGAACGGCGACAAGCCACTGATAGGCTATATTTTAAATTTTGTTTGCTTTGCATTATTGTAATAATAAAAGTAATCTACTTTTACCTTTAATATAGTAAGTGATTTTAAACAAACTATAATTAATGTTGTATTAATTCACATAATTTACCTTCTTCAAGAAAACAAAAAAAAAGTTTGTTTATTTTGTTATATAATATTTAATTTACCTTTTTTAAGAAAACAATAAGAAGTTGGTTCAATTTGTTCATTAATATTTAAAGAAATTTTTTAA